TAGGTCATGATCCTGGAGTCCCGGGATCGAGTCCCACATCGGGCTCCCCGCTCAGCGGAGAGTCTGCTTCTCCCTCTGACGCTCTTCCCTCTCGTGCTCTCTATCTCTCATTCTCTCTCTCAAGTAAATAAATAAAATCTTTAAAAAAAATAAAATATATTCAAAGGGGAAAGTTATCTTCTATCCCAGGATGAAATTTTCAGGTAGTATCATCACTTTTGCAATCATCCTTAGGCAATAAAAACATTGTGTGATACCATTAAGTTGCCAAAGTCTTGATTCTGATATTAGTCTGGTCACATATATTACACATCAATCTTAAAACAAAAATCACAGAAGATTCCTTTCCAACTTTGAGTTTGTGGCAGAGCCCAGAAATGGTGTATGGCAGGGGGAATGGTGGATGTTTCTGTTTCACTCTCCCGCAACGGGCTGCCTTGACTCCTGAGCCGGAGCAAGGGAGAGAAAGGGCTGAGAGGAGAAGCCAAGTTCCTACCTGACCAGCACTGTGGTAAGATGGCTTCGTACTCGCTAGACCTGGCAGATGTTTGGAGCTAATTCTCCTGTGAACACATTCAGAGGCTCTTCAGGGACTTCTTGCCAGAGGCCATGCCTAGAGATGTCTCACCACCTTGCTGTGTGCACGTGAAACTCGGGTTCCTGTACAATGTTCACCACCCCCGGGGGGATTCTATTGTTGTATCTTTAGCTTCTATCTGCTGAGGTCCCTCCATCCTTCCAAAAATGAGTGGGCGACATTTGTTCACACAAAACACTCATGAGGCAGTTGTTCCCATAAATTACATAAGGAAAGACTGAAACTTACATAGCTGCCTCTCGCATGGCTCATCTGTCACCAGCTACTCTTTTACATTTCACTTAAGAATTAGACTCCATTCCCAATATCCCTGAGGGTCCTGGTGCAGTTCTCTTCTCTTGATTTGAGCTAAAGAGGTAAGCATTTCTACACCTTTCCCAACAGCAGATAGCTCCTTAAAGAAAATCTTCTCACAAATCCTTTGAACTGTTAACAACCTGCCCCTTTCATTTGTTTGAGTTGGGTAAGGATCATAAGCATCCTATAATTGGCTTTGAATCTTCTTTGAAATTCCTGTCTCACAGGATTTCTGACATCTTAGACTCTTGGCTTAAACTTCTGATTTAATATTCTGTTACTTAGGACTAGATTAGAACAGAACAGAGTGAAAAGAATAGGCTGAACTAAAAGAGGAATATAACTAATTCACTGGTTCTTAAAATTTTTGAGAGAACCTTTTACAATGGGAAAAACACTAAGGATAAAGAACTCACCAGTAACAAGAGTGGATGAGAAACAAAATCATCAAGTGGGAATAATACAGCAATTACAATTTACAATCCTTGTTAAAATTAGTCCATATGTATTCTAACATCATATTGTTATATATTGGTTTATTAAATCAGTAATGAGTGATCTGAGTAAGAAAGAATATAAATTAATGCATAAGAATGACAAATTATTATTAATAATATTAGCAGCAACAGCAAAAACAATAAACATTTAGAGAATATTTACACTATGCTAAGTGCTTCATATATTTTATCATTTAATCCCCCCCCCAACAATTTTTATTGCCCAAGGTCACATATCATCTAAGGAGCAGAGCTGGACCTTCAACCCCCGAGCCATGTACTTCACTACTAAACCAAAGAGTTTGGTCACAAAGTGCTAACACCCTGACCCAAAGGGACAAGTTTCCATTGGATTTGAAAGAGTGAAAACATTCCTTGTTGCTTGAAGAGATACAATTGCAAAGTTTCAAGTTGAGAAGTGTAGAGTAAACATGTCATTTTTCTGACAAGCTACTAGGATTCAAAATTCAGCTCTTCAGAGAAGAATGAGTAGTTTGATAGTAAGAACTGTGAGAAGCATTTTCTAAGAAATAAAACTCTTTTAACTGCCACTCTGTGTAGTAAAACCTGCAGTAGGAGACAGGCTAAGGACTCAGATACCAGGGTCACACAAATCCTACACTCTGGAGGATTTCAAAGCAAAAGGCTACAAGAAGGAATCAAATGTTTTCTTGTTAATACCATGGAGGAGAAATAATAATGATTTGTGACTCCAGGAGTAAACTGTTCAATTTAAAATTCAGCATAAATATGTGACTGGGGTGAGTATCTATGCTTAAAAAAATCAAAAGCTATAAATTAGTGAAAACCCTGTTACCATTTTTGTGTCAATGATTTCTGACTCTCCACCCTGCAATATCACAACCAACCATCCACTGTAGACATGAGGGATTTCAAATTGCACTGTTTTCCTTGCATATTCATCCACAACAAGAGCAATAAATTGTCTCTAACCTAGAGATGGCAAATATCACAAGTTTCCTAATTTTTAGTGTTTATGATCAAATTCTTCAGTGGAGAGAAGACTTTTTTTGTATGAGTTTCCATGTACAGAAGATAGAATCAGGAGAGTATGTCCCGTTTGATTTTGTTCTTCATTTTCCCCGTCGAGACGGAAACTACTTACAGTCTTCATCAAGCTGAATATATAATTATTAGCAAGTAGTTACCTGCTACAGAAAGCAGATTTGGTAAATACTGGTGGAATGCAGAATCTAAAATTCTAGGAATCTTTAGATGTTCATAATAATAGAATATAAATATTGTTTGACAAATTTGTAGACTGGTTGAGTTGGGGAAAACTAAACCCCAAACAAATAATTATTTCTTCCATCTTATTTAGCTTTAAGTCATAAATCTCAGAGGGCTTAGTTGGTAGTTATCTTGATTAAGGTTAAAAAATCAGCCTAGAAGCTGATTTTTTAGATTTAGAATAGACTCCATTCCCAATATCCCTGAGGTTATAGATAGAAGCTAGTTTCACATATCCAGCTATCCTTTAACCTGGGATGAGAAGGGTTAGTGCTCTTTAAAAATGCCTTCCATGATATGTTTTTCCTCTCCTATGTACATCCTCCCATCTAACTTAGGCTGGCTGTGAGGAGAGGCTATTTGAAGGGATGTGTGGAGAGTGTCTCATCTACTTAGAGTTTTTAAAAAGTTGTAGTGGAATAAATTGCTTCTCTTGGTCATAATGCAAGTTGTGCCTATTACAGTATGCTTATAAATTGTAAATCCATGCTTTAAAATAAAAGCACTTTAAGCAATTAGTCACACAGCACTTTATTGATCTACAACATTTAGCCAGGATTGTGGGGAGTGATGCGATCTTTAATCTATCAAGACTCATATAACAGGATTACTCTCATGATGGAGGTGAATTTATTTAAAATAAATCATGGGTGCTCTATTATTTCTACATTACTAACATCAAAACTATTATCTTATTCTTGTTGAACTTCTTATTTGATGAGATTTCTATTTCTTACCAGTCTCTGGATTTTCTTTAATCAGCAGACTTGCTCAGCATGTTTTAAAGAAACCTAGCCCAAGATGGAAGGGTGAT